TTGAAGCATCACTTGAACCATCACAGTTGATAGATTTTGTAGTCATTTGGCTGCTGAGGACAGATGCCTACTTAACCCCATTTGAGTAAAGAGGGGCTGGTGCCAAAGATGCAGGCGACCCTCCCCCAGCCCAGGGACAGAGAGCAGAGCCAGGCTTCTCAGCAAGTGGTGTGCAAGGTCACCAGGCAGCTGCACCCCACGTGGCTCCTGTCTCCACTGTGCCTCTGCCTCCTTCTCCCCTACACCCTGACCTCCCCTCCCTTGTCTAGGTGCTGGGGCCACCACACACCAAAACAGCAGGCCCGCTGACTCTGGCTCAGGGAGACCCCAGCTGTGAACAGAGTACCACCCTCCAGGCTGTGAAGAAGACCACCAGGACTTTCTTCCACAGTCCAGAACTGCCAGCCCTCCGGTGAATAGCCAACCATATGCAGTCGGCACCACTGAGGGAAAATGACGGCCCGAGCCTACAGATGTAGGAAGCCCTGTCTCAAGTTGAAGTTTCAGAAAAGCAAAGAAAGGGTGAACTGCGTTGGGATCGTTGCCCACGTCTGGCTGTGTTAGCCGAGGCTGGGAGTGATAGGCCCACAGGATGCTTTTCCGGGCTGCACATCTCCCTGGGAGGAAACAGTGATTGCCAATGGAGCCTTGACTCTCCCCCCAGGATAGTCTGTGCAGGGAGGGACCGCCACACCAGCAGAGGGCAGACGTCCCTTGGAAGGCGTGATTAGCGCCAGCTTCTTCTTATTGCTTGGAGAAGACACTGGGCGAGGCCTCCAAGCAAGAGGATACATACAATTGTGGTTGTTGTTGTTGTTGTTGTTACTATTGTTGTGAGGTACCACTGAGTTGGCACTGACCCATGGTGACCCCATACACGCCGGGATGAAGCCCTGCCGGGTCCTGCGCCATCCTCACATTGATTCCTATGGCGAGCCCATTGTTGCAGCCACTGGGTCCCTCCATCTCCTGGAGGGCCTTCCTCTTTGTCCCTGCCCCTCCACTTGACCAAGCACGATGTCCCTCTCCAGGGACTGGTCTCTCCTGACACTATGTCCAAAGTATGGAAGACAACGTCTCACCATCCTGGCCTCTAAGGGGCACTCTGGCCGTATGAGATGGTTAAAGTTTATTGTGCCAGCCTGGCCGATAAACACATGTGGGGTTAATCGAAGGGCAGAGAGATAAACATGAGCCTCGCCTTTCTAGTTCTCAGGTCCCTTGCATTCTGATGATCAGATCAGGGTGCAGCTGCCTTAGCCAGTTCTTTGCTTCAGCTGGCAAGGCTCACTTCCTGTAAGACATCCCCGAGGAGAAGCCACATGGACCTA